CCCCTGCTGCTACTCTGAGACATTACATTTTAGGAACAAAGTTAAGCAACGTGTCCTTGTTACAGGGAGAAAAATGTTCCAAATGGAGGAAAGGTCCAAACAGCCGGTCAGTGTGCATTTAACAGGTCTGATTAGAGTCACGGGAGGCTGTGCAAACAGGTGGCAATCTCTATACTTGGACTTTAAGCTAGCCAGGGCAGCTGGGTGCTTCAAAAAGTGGATGCAGGAGTAATTTGGGAGAGGGGGAACTATACAAACATCTTTTCTAGGTTGTCACATGCCCCATCATTGGTCCAGTTCTTCAGCAAAGCATCCTGCAGGCGGCAGTGGAGAATTCACAACTAAGGTCTAAAATGTGGATTTCTGCAAGATGAATTAAAAATGAGCTGCCCTTTTCCTGCCGGGCAGCCAGCCTGCTAAAAAGCACAGAACAAAGCTGCCGCTAACCCAGAAAAAATGCAGTTAAGCACATACAGACAAGCATTCCTAATGCTGCTGCTGACTACGTTAGTTGAAGATTTTTCACAGGTACCTTGTACACTGCCATAAGGTCAGCGATGCTGCTTCTCTTTTAATCGTCTTGTGAATCTCTGGGGGCAGAGACTCTATGGGGTGTATGTGTGTGTCTTTGTCTACACAATGCAGCCCTAACGGAGCCACTAAAGATTCATACAGCACAAACAGTTAAACTAAACTCCCAAATTCACAGTTTGGGGCCTGGGACAATAAGGGGGCTTCTGTAAGCTAATTTGGGGTCTGATCCTGAGCAGCCATGATTTCATATCCAGAATTTGCCACCCATGGCTTTGATGCCTGCGTGCTGCCATCACACACCTGGCAGCTCTCTGCAACTACAGCAGTGCTAAGATCAGTCATACTGAAGTGTGCTTGAAAGCAAGGCTGGAGGAATCCTCCTGGTACTGCCAAGCACCGTTCAGCTGTTACAATCCTCCCCTGGTCTTACAGCAATAAAAGCCCTCTAGATAGCATCTATAAATGCTGAGGTAATGATCGCTGAGTGCTTCTCACTTGATTTTACAGTGCATTCTTCAGGTACTGCAGGCAACTCAGGTCTTTATCACACCAGGTAGAAATGTAACTAGCACTGTGGAGAAAGCAAGCTGCAGAGCAATCGGCTCAGGAATTGGCAGGGTCCCTTTGGCAGACTGCTCGGGACAGGGAAAGGTGGTTTTTCAGTCTGGTGAGCTAAGCGGTCTCCGCTGGTCCCGTCAGTACCAGTCTTCCTGGCATGCTCCATGGTGCCTCGGCTTAAAAAACTGCATCAGCCCTGGTTAAGATGCCTGCTCTGGGGGGCAAATCTTTATCCCCCTGTCTCCTGTGCGACTCTGAAGTGCCCACGGCACTTGCAGCAGTTTATAAATGGGAACACTTCAGTATTACAGTGAACTTCTACTGAAAAAAGGAAAAGTAAAGCAAACCCAGCAAAGACAAGGCAGCCCTCCCTGAGCTGGTCACGTCCATCTTACTCTGTACAGGTGAAAACTGTTTCTTATATCCTCAGGTTCACAGCACTAAAAGCTGATATCTGTAAAGGGTGTTTGGGTCAGGAACAGAGCTCAAGATCCAGGGTTTCCTGCACGTTTGAACTGTGCTTAATCCCAGAATTTCATTATCTACCCAGCAGCCAGAGGCTCGAACACCAAAATAACATGGACATTCCTAGAGAGCAGATGAGCTCTTTTAACTCGGGTTTTATATTCATACTAGCAACTGCTATGGGACTACTCTTTGGTTGGACACTGACTGCGGCTGTCAGGCACCTGCATCTGCAATCCTTTGCTGCAGCCAAATCTGCTCAGTGTTGGGGAACAGGTCTGGGGGGGAGATGACTTTCACCTTGTAACATTTTGGTAACAAACTCCAAGCCCTCTATTTAATAGCAATGGGCCCAATTCATTCCTAGGGTAACTCCACTCACTTCCCCAGGATTCATTCTGCCCACATCCCTTTTAACCTTGGCACAACGGAAACCAGAGCCACAATCGCCAAAAGCGGTAATGTGCTCACTCTCTTGTTTGAAACACCCAGGTCTCCTGGCTAAGGCAGCTCCCTGCCATCACAGAGTGCCTAACACACTTGTGACAGAAATATTGATAACCAAGAAGCAGCGAGTGCTGGGGCAGATGACAGGTTTACTTTGTGCAGGAGCCTGTGTTCAACAGTGGTGAGAACCAGATGCTTCAGGGTGAGATGCAAGAAACCACACAGCAGACAGACGGACATGGGATAACCTGCCTTAGCTTCTCTATCACCTCCTAATCCAGGGGCGGGCAAAACGGTGAATTTGGCTGGCAGCTGGACTCCATTTCCCAGCTGCCCCTGCCCGTGTGGCTGGGGCCAGTTTCTATGGAGACCCCAGCAGCAGCCCTGCTGTGATAGCCTCAGGCCGGGGTTTCCATGGAGATTGCCCCCAGCAGCACTGGCAGGGTGTGCAGCAGGGCACAGAGCTGCTTCAGAGCCAGGCTGGGATCGTGTGGCGGTGAGGGCGTGGTCCAGAGCCAGGGCAGAACAGTGATCTCCAGCTTGCGTGTCCCGGGCAGGGATGTGCAGGCAGCAGATCACGGCTCTGCCCTGGCTCCTTGCAGCGGTGACAGCGTGGTCCAGAGCTGGGGCAGAGCTGTAATCCACTGTCTGCACGTCCCTGCCTGGGGCACGCAGGCTGCAGATCACAGCTCTGTCCTGGCTCTGGACCACACTGTCACTGCTGCACAATCCCAGCCGGGCACCAGAGCAGCTCCCTGCCCTGCCCCTGCTGCGCACCCTGCCAGCAGGGGTGGAGCTAGGGAGAGCTATAGCCACCCCAAAATTCCCATAGCCCCCCCTCCCAGCAGGGCTGCAGCTGAGCCTGCCCCACTCCTGCCTGCAGCACAGCACCCCCTCAGCACCCCCATCAGGAAGAGGCTGGCACTGCTGCTGCCTGCCAGCCTGGTCTCCACAGCAGCATGGCTGCTGCTGGAGTCTCCATGGAAACCAGCCCCAGCCACATGGGTAGGGGCTGCTGGGAATTGGAGTCCATTGCTGCCCGGATCCCGCCTGTGGCCCAGACTTTGCCTGCCCCTGTCCTAATCCCTCAATTAGAGATGGCAAGACCCTGAGGCACGAGGTTCTAAAGTGTACTCATATGAACTGGGACAGCTCTTGATACTGCTGTTATCCTTTTCGATGGCCAGACCCTCCTCAATCTCAGCAGCAGTTTTATAGTTTCTAGGTTGTGAAAATTGTTTAATTCCATATTGAACTACCTAAAAACAGCATGAAGTTAAGGCCTCCAGACAGAGCATACCAGTCAGCTCTCCCTCAGTGTCATGCCTAATGCAGTAGAAAGGGATGCCATGGGCTTGCTCTTCCCACTGTCCCTCCTGAGACAAAGGGGTTGAGTGTAGTTTTAAATTAGACTATAACCTCCTCTCCAGGAGCAGGACTCTCTCTCTGATGTCTCTATACCAACCACAGTACAAGGCCCCAGCTGTGCTTAGGTCTTTAGGACTACCATTACAATTCATAAGATGACAACAACTCACCGGAACGCCTGGTTCATCATCTGGTAGTTAAAGTGCTCAGGTGCCAGTCCAACCACCACTGCATTGGGGTCGTTGGTATCTATGCCTGGAAAATTAAAGCTGAAATGTAACATCTTCTATGTATTCATGCCCCTGGTTTAAAATACATCCTTTGCCTACTGACCAGAAAGTGAATTAGTCTTGGTATATACTTTGCAAGACATCTCAGGCTCCCACCTGGCGACGTCCCATCTACAGACGGAGCTGAAAGGCTGCACTGGCAGGGGAGAGGGAATCATTGCCTACAACACCAACAGCGTGCCAGGGAGTGGCTTCCCACACCAGCTACTTCTAAAGCCCCTGGGCGGTCTTAGCAGAATGGTTTTACAATGGACCCCTACCCAAGGGGTATAGGTTCTTCTGAATCTATCAGGCAGTTTTGCCCAGTCTCCTTCCTTCCAAGCTGCTCCTTGGAAGACGCTGTGCTACAACCTTATATACCTACAAGGCCCACACTTAACCTACAAAGGCCAGTAAATACAGCTAAAGCCACTAAATGTACCATTACCGTAGCCAGTTATGTCCAACACTGCCTATTCTAAATGCAGGGGAAATGCCAGTATCCCAGTCCTTTGCTGGAACAGTGACCATAGGGAATAAAAGCAATATGCACTACACTGCTCTACATGTTATTTAGAGGAAGGGCAGTGAAGAAATGAACACCTTCTCTCTTCAGCTTCCTGCACAGTCGCGAGCAAAGCTGAGAGGGGAACTGGAAACCTCTGAAACATGGAGCAGTTCAAACTGCCAAAATCCAGGCTGTTTACAGTCTACAAGCAGCACTGCCAGAGGGAAACCCAGCCATCAGACCAATAGCAACTGATGGAAGCATGCCTCAACCCGCCGAAGGTAGGCAGGTTGCAGTCATTTGTGGGCAGATTTCAAGTTAGCATTTTCCAGCTCAGCATGGAGGAAAGTATCAATCCTTGGTTTTCAGAGCAAGTTAGATCCTTGCTTTAACACAGCACTGTCCAACTGGTGGCCCACAGGCTGGTTGTGGCCTGCGAGAGGTTAAGTTGTAGTCAACCAGGCTCCCACCTGGCCACCACTCTCCCCACTCTCCTGGCTGCAACAGCAGCAGGAGGCTTTTGGCTCCCCCTTGCTCCCCCAGCTTCTCCTTTCTGAACCCGCCCCAGGGGGCTAGGCAATGCAACACGATGCGGTGAGCTGAGGGGGAGGCCAGGACTACATGGGTGTGTAGTGCAATGCTGGGGGATGGGGGGCACCTGTGCAGGTGGACTATGCCGCAGTAGGACATCTTGCATGGCACGTAGCCAGGATGGCCTGGGGGTCCCTAATGCTGTGACCCACAAGGCATGCAGCCCCTGGCCACTTAGAGGTTGGACAACCTTGCTTTAACACATCAGGGCCCACTAATTTTAAAATCAGGCCCAGGTACAGTCAACTGGTTGCCAACAGAAGTCAGCATTTCCAGACAAAAAGACTTGGGTTCCACCTTCAGCAACAGATATACATGCATGCACACTTCGAGAGCTGGTGACTGCTTCTCGTTAAAGGTATTGCTCTTTCCAGATTCTTCCACAAAAGCAATTCAACTCCAGATCTGGATATTCAGCACAGAGATGCCAAGTGCTCTGTCCCATCCCAGCTTCTTCACTTCCCCTGAAGCTTTCTGATCTCATCTGGTTACAGAAAACTGCTTGGGGCAGAGGGGGTGGTTTCTGGTGGGTACGGTAAATGTCATTCTGACTGAGTCCAAGCACTGCCCAAAGGGATCTTGTAGCATGACCTATGAGGGATCAGACTTTGGACTGGCTTCATCCACCCTGCAGCCAAATCACCCTGTAAGAATCCCTTACTTCCAGCTCCTGCATCTGTTGTCCAGCACAGCAGAATCACAACTGCCTTGGCAGGAGATGGTGATGCCACCTTTGCCATAGGACCTCACCCTTGGATGAACAGCGTAGAGGCACAGAACCAGCAGTGGAGGAGTTGTGGGAGCCAGTGTCGGGACCGGCGCACAAGAACAAGCAGCTCACAGCAGAGGCGGCAGACACCTGTGTTTGGAGAAAGCTGGCATCTCTGCCCTGCCTTCCCATTCAGCATTTACCACTCCTTTGCTGGGATAAGCTAGTACTCCTGGGCCTCGGCAGATGCAGAGTCAGACACGCTGTTGTCCGATGCCACGTACTGCAAATTTTCCAGCTAATTCCGAAAGCCAAATGTAAAATGTGGCACTGAGAGACACCAGGGGGATTTGTGACACTCCCTCAAACCATCTGGGTCCATTAACCAGAGAATGGATTACACGCATCCATCTGTGACCAATTGTATATAGGGAAGATTATCCAAGAATAATTCAGCAGCAGTCACTACCAGGAGTTTAAAACCTCTAGTGTACTTAACTGCTTCAGGAACGTAACGGAGAGGAAAAACAAGTGAAACTGCTTCTGGCAGAAAAAAAACAGTATATCCAACCCACTTCATGCTGGGTCTTGCTGACACACAAAAATGGCACTAAGTTAACTCAATCAGTTTCTAAACCTCTACCAAATTAAGCTGAATCAATACCAGCCTCTACTCAACTGATTTAAGAGACCCAAAAGGCAGGGAACTGCATGGTTTTAACTGAATTTATTAAATTTAGTTAGAAACCAATTGCAGTTTCTAGTTTTGCGCAGGGTTGTTGAGAGCACAGATATAGAAAGTTCACTGAGCAACGTTCACCTGATAAAAAAATAGGCAGAAGAGATTATAAAAGTCTCCATAAAGACGTTCCTTTTGCACACCCATTCTAAAGAACATGAAGCAGAATGTTGCACTAAATTTTAAGGGAAATCCCCAACTCAGAGTATGCAAAGGTCAGAACCTACCAAAATTATACAACCAGTTCTGATTTCAGTTTGGTCAGAAAAAAACTGGTAGTCAGCAATCTTGTGTTTGCAAGCTTCTGAATTAAAATGAAACAATATTCAAAATTCTAATTGTTTTTACAATCTGGTTAGCTTCATTGTCTTTGAGTTGAAAATCTAACAGTAACAAAGTCTGCATTACTAATCCTTGTTAAGTAATACTAAAATGCCTTTGAATTTGACACTCGATAGCCTTGGGACAAGCGGACACACAGGGGTGTCAATCCTTTATTGATAGTAGCTTCCTGGCTGTTTGTCTAGGCTTCTTTTACCACTGTAACTTTTAGGCTCATTTTGAGCAAGGTTAGGTACCTGACTGGTAAAAATGCCCTGCACACATTTCTGGGCCAGTGGTAGGGAGAATTTATGAAAATCTTAGTGCGGACACACTAATAGTTCTCAGCATAGACAAGGTCTCTGTAACACATTACAAGAAAACCTCAGATTGCTATCCCCATAAATGGTGCAATGACTTACTGCATGTGTGCGCCAATGTGTAGACAAACAAACAATTTGAGGACACTGGCCTAGCTCACTTCCTAGTGATGCTGGAGGTCCAAATTGCATATAATGTTTAATGTTGTCCAAATCAGAAGCATGTACAGAAGTTCAGTTTAGTCTCAAGCTCATCTTATCCAACAGTTTTAGATGTTGGATAACATAACCCTTAATCTCAGAACCCCACATAACCCCACAACCCACTCATAACCCCACTCATAACTCCACAACCTACTCCCAGCCAAGACTGCCAGATAATCAGAGCTTCCTTGTAGATAGATCCCAAGTGTGCACTAACAAGAATATGATTTCAGGATATTTTTGAAAGTCAAATTGAAAACCAGCGAAGAAACACACGGGCTGGCTGTACAGCACTCCCATGCATTCATCATGATTGTATGTAGTTTATGGATTGTGTTGATTTTACTAAAGTATGCAAACAATCCATTAAGTGTCTGGAATATTGCACAGCTCATGGTGCTGTGATTTAATTAAAACCTGCAAAAAATCACATTACTACACTGTAGCTGGGTGTTCACAGTAACTCATTAAATTTGTGTGGGGGTGGGGGAGCCTCTAAACTATTCTCAGAGCCCTCAACAAGCCTGCCTCCTTATTTTGCTTTAACCCTACATTACTCACAAACCCGGTAAAACTGCACATGTGCTTTGAGTCAGGGCTTAGTATGTCACCACCCTCCCCATCCCACCCCCAACTCTCCACTGCCAGCCACATCATCCCCACACCTGGAAAGCCCTATGGCCAAGAACCATGATGCTCTCAGGCTCTGGTCATTTGGGGCCGACATACCAGAGCAAATTGGCAAAACTAGGACATGAAAGCGCCACACAGCATACATTCACAGGCAAAAATGGGCACAGGCCTGATTCAAGAAAGGGTGTGTACTACTTATCCTGAGAGGTCTTCTTAGGGACCCAGCAGAAAGTCAAGTGTACAGCAGCACACGGAGCAGAAACTAAATTCAGTGGATAATGGGGCATGGTGTTTGTGGTGGCAGAGCGCAGAGCCTCAAAAAGGAATGTGTTCAAGTGATGCTACAGCTGGCTCCTCCTGTGGCAAGTGCTACAGGCTCCTCAATGCCAACAGTGCTCAGAACCTCCATTTCATGCCTTGCCTGAACGTTGGGGATAAGGCTCCCTCCTCCTTCCATGGGACATACCACTGCCAGAGTCCTACCCTCCAGTATCATTCCCATGCAGCTCAACAAGTCCACTCCATCATAC